GTAAAAGAGATGATTGTTTTAAATTCCTCGCCGACCAAAAAAATCCAATGTAACAAGTCTCGGGCTCGAATCCTCCAAAGGCATGCTTAACTTTATGCACATGTATGGATCTGTTGATTCAGAATGACTGCTCACTTGTATGTGTTAAAAAATTCAGCTGTGTAGCTAAGCCTTTGCAGGACTGAGGCTTTCTCGACAGTTCTTTCTAAAATGTCCTTCCAAATTCAAAAATAGCAATATTTTAAGGAGACCGCCACAAATCTCCCATGAATTTATTTTCATAAGGTTCCTAATGGAAATGGCTGCACATTTACATTGACTTTTATACTGAGGGTGATAACAACATTCATATATGGAAAGGCAAGAAGCAGTGAAATCATTAATACGTATATCAATCCAGAGACTGAGATGCTGGCAGCAAAAGCCCTATGGGTAATGATATTGATGGCTCCGGTTCTTCTGGAGGTAAAACTTGTTCTCCTGGAGCTCAACCCGCAGGAACAAATACCCCTCCGTGAAACGCCCCGCATTTGAAAAATCTTTCAGTCTGTCTCCAATTATTGTGACAGTGAATATCTGATATGAGTTGCTGGCACGCTCACAAATTAAAAGAGAAACCTAATGATATTGCTTATGTTCACGCTGAGCATTAAAAGGTAATGTCTAAAAGGTTTTATTGTGTTAATAAAACTCAGAGGTGGTCAAGACTTGATGCACACAGGAACAGAATACAAAATAATCAGTCATAATGTTACGACTTCATTTTTCATTTGTATTTTCAAGTTTGCCTTGAAAATCAGAGATTGCACTAAAGGAAAAAAGACAATATTATATCAAAGAAAAGGAAAAATTATAAGCATGACTTATCTTTAATGTTTTACATCAAAATGAAATTTCTGTGATATGTGTCATGTGCATAAACAACACAGGCAGCTTTTGTCTTTGTTGAATTTAAATGAAAAGTCCCTCTAGATATTAATATGTGGACTTCATTTGTTAGCCTGCTAAGTCAGGGACTTATAACAAAAGCTTTGTAAACAAAAGATTAAACTGAATCGAGCTTTAGAAAATGAAAGGAAAACAAGAGTCAAATAATCACAGATCAGAGTGGGGCTGCTTAGATTGAAATCACTACAAGCTACTGGAGTGGAAAATGTTTAATTGAACTATTTCATTACGCAGGAAGTTTATGTCCCTCTTGTAGAATCCAAAATATTTGTATCAGAAAATCCATTCTCCTCCTTTAAAATACTCTCTTGCAAGTATCAAATGCGATCTTAAAAATTGTCGATTAACTTAATGGCAAAGAATTAATGTGGAAAATGGGTCAAATTTAAGAACGAAGGTTGCTTGATTTGGTAGCTTGACATACCTACCGAAGAAGTTGGTACACTAGCCGGAGTTCCTACGGGCATTATTTTACAAGTGACCAGCAGTATATGGCATCACTTACCAACATCTATTAAATTAGAAAAAACAAATGCTTTTTGACTCTTTACTAACCTTCGGTAACCTTTCGGGATCACCTGGATGTCGCGGAATAACTTTCTGCAACCTCTGAAAGCCATAATCTATGGTTGGTTCATTAAGTG